TCTGCTGCTGCATCAGAGCTGGTTCTAATCTCAGAGGCTCCGTCAGAACCGTCGGGTCCTTCATGTGCTCAGCGTCGAGTTTTCACATGAAACGGGTTAAATAGCTGGAAAGCAGATGAATGCTTCATCTCATTCATATCATAATATAATTACAAGATGAGCTTGATTTCTCTGTGCTGTAATGGATGAAAGAGACCCTCCCGTCCGCTCTAATGTGCAGATAATGCAGCAGCGCTAATTAATACTGAGATGCTAATTATCAGGCGATAAGCTGCAGACGCCCGTTTGATGGCCTACATTTGACAAATCCCAGGAGTTTACAGATTACGCTGATCTGGAGCAGCTCTGCGTTGAAGAAATCAGATTGATTGAAATGAGAATAATAACCGTGAGTGAAGGCTTGGTGTCGGGATGTTTCTGATCCAGGAACACACCACAGCTGCTCCAGTAGAATGTTAATGCAGCAATTTCTATGAAAAATTCATCTTTTTTTCTTCCACCTTTCTGCTGAGGACGACGTCTTTGATGTGATGTGTAGGAGTAAAGGAGAAAGGCCTGATGGAGTCAGAGGCTGATGATGGAGACTGGAGCTCCAGAAGCTGGTTCTTGTCCTCCACGGTCAGGGTTCTGGTCGGGTTAACGTTCAGCTTCAGGATGAACGCTGCAGATCCTCATGAGTGATGCTTGTTTGTTCCTCATCAGCCTTAAAGGATGATTTCAGCTTGACATATTACACTTATTGCACATGTTGTGTTTTATACTTGTTGTTGTTTATTTGTGTTTATTTGTCTTTGTGCTGTAGCAGCCAGAACAACTTTTGGGATTAATGAAGTATTTCTATTCTGTTCTGCAGCAGCGTCGCTGCAGATAAAAGTTAAAATCAAACTATGAACAAGAAACTGAGACGTCTGAGATTTAAAGTGAACGTGAGGAATCCTGACATAAATCCATCATTTAACCCTCTGAACTCTGATCAGCTTCAGTCTCCTGGACCTTCACTGAGGTTCTTGTTTCTCTGCAGCAGGAAGTCCTGCAGCTCTGAGGAACCAGAACATGCAGGAGAAGGAACTCAGAGACGTCTTCTGTCAGCAGGACTCAGAACCACGGAGATTTCTTTGAGTATTAATTTACAAAAATGTAAAAACCCTTCATCATCATGGCCAACGTGTTTCCACAGATGTTGCAGCACTGGAACACGTTTTCTCCTCAGACTGTAGATGTTGAATTATTTACAGTTTTAATTCGCCTAAATCCCGTTTAAACGCTGTAGTTCACCTGATTGTTCGTCACTGATGGTTCTTATTTGCACCAAAGAGCACAGATTTTTATTTTATTTTATTTTACTGGATCTGGTTCCTGCAGTTTGTTCAGTTTTGTTGAATTTTAAACAAAACGTAGAATAAAGAGATTGTGATGAAACATGATGATTACAAGCTCAGATTTAGTGACATTTCCTGATGAAGCTGCAGTTTATCTGCCACAGAACAATATATTCCACATAAAAAAGGGTTCTGAGTAAGACTTTGTTCTCACAGCAAGCGGACCTTGTAAAGCCCGTTGCAGCGGAGCGGGTCGAGCTGCTCTCTGTTGAAAATGTTCCTCCTGGATATGAACGGAGGTGAAGACGATCTGATGGAGGTGGAGGTTTCTGACTCACTGCAGCCGAGCGGTGAACAGCTTCTGGTGGTGAATGTTCAGCGGCTGCTTCACCTCCACCTGTCCTCTGGCCAGATGTTAGCTCACCTGTCCTCTGGCCAGATGTTAGCTCACCTGTCCTCTGGCCAGATGTTAGCTCACCTGAGCGCGTTCTGCAGCAGCGCCACCGTCCTGCTCTCAATCAAAGCTTCCCATTTGTTCTCCAGACTGTTCAGAAGACCAGCGAGTTAGAAAGGGAAGAGTTCCTACTGTTTGTTAACCACTCGCCTTCTTGTTTTTTTTTAAAGATTTGTTTTGGGCCTTTTCCGCCTTCATTGATAGTGAAAGTGAAAGAGTGACAGAGAAACGTGGGGGAATGAAATGCAGCAAATGAGCTGCTGGCTGGACTTGAACCCGGGCCGCTGCTTCGGGGATCATAGCTCCTGTACACGGGTCGCCTGCCCGACCCGCTGAGCTATCCATCCGCCCTCCTCTTCTTATCTTTTAAACAATGATCCATATCTGAACCTGAAATAACGACATTTAGTCAAAATGTTGTTATTCTTCCTTTCTTATTTAAAAGTTTGTCAGAAATGAACCTTTTGCATTCACTCTGTAAAGAGCTAAAGGTCTAAGAAGCCATCAGCTGTGACCAGGAGGCTTCAGGTTTAAGCAGAGCAGAGTGGAGACCAGGATGGAGACCAGGATGGAGACCAGGATGGAGACCAGGATGGAAACCACATCAAAGTTAATATCTCTGGTGTGTGGAGCCACCATTTAGTTTCCATGTTTGTTTCTGTTTTTGTGAAATAAATAAAGAGACGTCTCTTCTCTCTGGTCTCCTGGTTCTGAGTCCTGCTGACAGAAGACGTCTCTGAGTTCCTTCTCCTCCTTCATGTTCTGGTTCCTCAGAGCTGCAGGACTTCCTGCTGCAGAGAAACTCAGTGAAGGACCACGAGCCAGGAGCTGATCAGGGTTCAGCTCAAACCACTTTGTCTACCTTCAGCCATGTGTTGACAGATGTTTGTCCGGAGCTCATCTTGGTTCGTCTCCGTTTCGCTGCTTCCTTCTCAGTCGTTGAGCTTTTCTGTTTCCTGCTGTTACCTGAAGCAGGTGAGCAGCTGCTGGTCTCCGTGGTTACTGTCAGAAGGTGTTTCCTCAGAGCAGACTCCTCCAGAAGGCTTCAGAGCATCATTATGAGTTCATCCATCGGCTTCCTGAAGAGTGTTTCTGTGTAGGGACCTCCTAGATGTCATTCTGTGGGTGTGGAGGATCAGAGCACCGCCAACCACAGCTGAAGAACCGTGTTCTGTCTCTGGTAGCAGCAGATGTCTTCAGAACAACGGTTCCACCGTTAAAGCTGAACTCATGTCTGAAGGAGCAGTGAGTCCAGAACCAGGAATCTGAAGCAGAAACCTGATCTTTGAAGCTGAATCGTCTGTTTTCACTCTGAGATGAAGAATACAGGAGAGCAGCTCTTCTGCTTCTGAAAGCTGCAGAACCAGTTTTCTGTTCAGTGTTCTGGGTCTTCAGTGAAATTACAAAGACTCATTAGTATGCAGTAAATGACGGAGTTATTTCAGAGCGTCAGAGTAATGAGGCAAATCCCAGCATCGCTCTGAATCAAAGGGAAGCAAAAGGCAGAGAGCTGGAGGAGCTTCCACATGCTCCACTCTGGAATATCTTCAAGGACAATCAGCTAAACAGCTGATATTAAGAGAGCTGTGTGAAATCGATTGCTCAAGGTGTTATCTGCGCCGCAAAATGGCTGTAATTAGTCATGGCTAAAGGAGTGTTACGGAGCGAGATGGATTTAATCTTAATAGATTTCACTGCACTGCAGATACAGCAGCTCCTCTCAGCATCTATCAGAGCTGCTGTGATCTGCTGCTTGTGGCTCCACGTGGACGAGGTGCTCCTAAAGCACAAGTCTCTCTCCGCTCAGAGCTGTGGTTTGTTGGTTTAAAGCTCTTCAGTCTGTTTACTCAGTCAGTCAGAGAACAAAGAGCCACTGATTCACCTGAACCCTGAATGTCAGTATTAGCTTAGCGATTAGCAGGTGGAGACTGATGGAGTCGGCTGAAGAAGGCAACAGGCAGCTGTTGTCTGTGAACAAATACCTGAAGTTAACCTGCTTTTATTCATCCTCCTCCAGTAGAACTCTGAGTTTACTGTTGGAGGCCGAGGCAGGAGGTAATCCGTGTTGCCGTTGCATTTAGCACACCGTTACACCTGAGAGCAGATCACATTCATGCAAGGTGCCCACTGGCAGCAGCGTCAGCTTCAGCACCTCGCCCAAGGACGCGTCCACCATGGAGGGGATCTGCCGACCTCGCGTTTAGTGGACAGTCTGCTTGACCACCTGAGCCACAGCCGCCCCGTGTTCTTCTTAGAGGTTCTCTGATCAGGTTTTGTTGACCCTGATCAGTCTGGGTCATGCAATACTTAGAATCTGATCCAATTGTCCACACTGCAGATGTTTTAGCTGTAACGGATGCTCTCTGTCCACCCTCCAGTCCAGCAGGTGGCAGTAACGCACCTTTAAGCTGGTGTGCTAACCGCCAGTCAAGCCGCATGGTCTTCCTTTATGACACCTGTGTAACTAGAGATGTTAATGAAGGGTAACTGATTAACTGCTGTTAATAAGAAAATAGAAACATATGAACTGAGCAGAAGAAGCTCATGATGTCAGTAAACGTACCAGAGACCAGCTGCAGTACCTGGTTGTTCCACCAGGTGGCGACCAGGGGAAGCCTTCATTTGTCTAGTTGGTGTTTTTCTCATCTGTGTCCAGCTTTTTGTCTTATTTCCTCCACATTACATGTCGTGGCCTCACTGATGATCATAAAGACGGTGTTCATGGTTTACATGTGCAGAGCTGCCTCACGTTGTCTTCATGTTTAGCTAACAACAGATGATTCTACTGAGGGTTCTGGTACTGAACCCTGAACCACGGTTGGTGTTTGGTCTGCTCACATCCAGACCTCAGCAGTCTGACTTCAGTCGATCATCAAGGGATTATTTTAGCCTTTTATGAGATTAGCGTGACTGACAGCAGCAGCAGAATGTGTTTCTCTGCTTAGTAAACTAGTTTACAAGGATCCTCAGTGTTCAGCACAGAACGCCGTGTTGGTAGGAACACATCAGACGACTGGAGCCCTGAATTATTTGTTTTCTGCTGAAAAATGCATAATTGTTTATCTGTTGAAGTGTTTTGTCAGTTTTTAGCTTCTCAGATCTTTAATTGTTTCTGCAGACAAAAGGGTTTTTAAATAGCCACAGCTCTCTGATATTCATATTTATGATTGTATTTGGTGTTTCTGATGATGTTTCTTCTCCTCTTGTCTCTGATTGTCCTTCTGCAGAAGCTGAAGCAGAAGAACCAGCAGCTGAAGCAGATCATGGATCAGCTCCGCAACCTCATCTGGGAGATCAACTCCATGCTGGCTGTCAGGAGCTGAAACTCGCAGCCTCACAACACACACACACACACACACATATACACACACATACACACACACACACACACACACACACACACACACACACACACACACAGCCTGCCGGTCAGCTGACTTCGGGGTGAAACAGACCAGCTGAGGCTGAACTTTGCTGAACTAACGTGGACGTTGTTCCAGACGAAGACTGAAGGAGGACGGAGCTGCTCGGTCTATGTCTCCTGTAGCTGCTGGCCATGGAGCCTGGACTCTACCTTCATGCTCTGCTCACAGCATCACAGACCTCCGTGGATCTGAAGGATTTGTACGAGACCTCGGCGCTGAGTCGCTGTTCTGGGATGTGATGTAAACAGAGCTGACGGGTCATTCTAACGCCTTGTTAAGATTCTGCTGAAATATAAATGGTGCTGTGAGTTCTGAAGGAGTCGCTGCTGCTTTGTGCTGTAATGTGTCTTCATCAGTGTGTCACGGTGTGTTTGGTTCGTGTTCGTCAAACTCCTTCGGACCTCTCGTTCAGAACTGACGAATGAACGATTGTTTTCAGCACAAAGGACGGCTCACGCTGTTTAGAACATGTAATGAAGTACAGTAGTTATGGTGGCTCAGGCCTCTGACCTCGTTTCTTCACTCGTTTGACCTCCTTCTGTCTCCTGCTCCTTCACTGAGCTTCATGTTTCTACATAAAGTCCTGCAGCTCTGAGGAACCAGAACATGAAGCAGGAGGAGAGAGAGCTCAGAGACGTCTTCAGGCAGCAGGACTCAGAACGACGGAGACCAGAGAAAATGTAAAAACAAACGTCTTTGACTAATCGTTAAACCAAACAGCTAATAAAACCTGGAACCAACATGTTTCCACAGATGGTACCAACACTACAAACCCTCCGCCTGAGTGTCTCTGGTAGTTTAACAGCTGCACCACAAGTGCAGACGGTTTTGGTTTTTACAGTTTGTGTTCTGCAGATGGTTCATGTTTGTCCAGTTTCTTATCAAATGAAGTGATTTTGATGAAATATCAGAGTCTGGAGCTCAGCGTCGGTGAAGACGTTCACATCGAACAGAGCTGAAAAGTTTTTGTTCCGGGCTGTTGCTGGGTTCAGTCGGTTCATTTGTCTTTTTCTTTCCTTCTGCTGTCCTTTAAAATCCAAACAACAACCTGCAGGATGAACATTTAGGCCACGTTCACACGTAGCCGGTGTTCACAAAACAGATCCATCCATTATCTACGCACCGCTTAATCCTCACTGGGGTCATGGGGGGCGGAGTCTATCCCAGCTGACTCAGGGTGAAGGCAGGTTCACCTGGACAGGTAACCAGTCTATCACAGGGCTACACTTAGAGACAGACAACCAAGCACACTCACATTCACACCTACGGACAATTTACAATCACCAATTAACCTCAGCATGTTTCTGGACTGTGGGAGGAAGCCGGAGAACCCGGAGAGAACCCACGCTGCACGGGGAGAACATGGAGACTCCACGCAGAAAGATCCCGGGTGTCCTCACCGGGACGTGAACCGGCGACCTTCTAGCTGTGAGGCCACGGTGCTAACCACTGATCCACCTGCAGTCCCAAAACAGATCTATTTTTTCATAACTGGCATCGTTCTCACCAGATCGTTCACACAAACCCACACATGTGACCTGATGACGCTTTAGTCTCACACGGTGACGTCAGACTCCTCCTGTCTGCATGCAAACTAAAGACGGAGTTTTCAGATGTGATTGTTTTCAGACTCGTAGCTTTGTTTACATGTAAACCAAAGGCCCGTTGAAGTATCACCGGTTCGGCTTGATCCAGATCAGTTTGTGTGTTTTTAGCGGATGAGTTTGTTTTCCATCACCGCTGCATTCTGGGCTTATTTCACTGAAGACGACTCTGATTGGATGAAAGGAACCACCAGGTGTTTCCTCGTTCGTGATGCTGAGGTGCAGTCAGATCATCCTCCAGACCTGCAGGTGTGTCTGCTGTTAGTGACGCTGCTGTCTGTCTGCTCTGCCTCTAACTAGTCTAACTAGTCCACCAGCGTCTGCAACCTGCTGCTGAACGTTTCCATCAGCTTCTGCGTGGTTTGGATCTACGTGAGCGTTTAGAGCTGGAGGTGCTTGTTAAGCTGCAGACTGAAGCTCTGATTCGTATCTGTCTCCTTACAGCTGAATGAATGACTTCAGGTTCACCTGGTGATGGAAAACATGCTAAACCCTCTCACATCTGTGGTTCGTCCTCAGTTTCATGTTTCCTGCTGCGGTGAAGTCGCTTCTCACAGAGAAGAAACGCTGTTCGATGCTTCTACAGAATCGAGCAGCGTCTCAGGTCAGCACATCTGGATCGGCTGTAAACATCAGGACATCTTGTCTGTTCTGTGTTGGAAACTTCACCATACGTGATTGTTTTTGAGGGTTTTTGTCCGATCAGAAGAGACTTCTGAAGCTGAGTTCTGCTGAATTCGGCCACGTTGGGCTGCAGAGGACTCAGGTATAGATTAGAAAAGTAAAGAATTCACAAAGGAGCTCATTGAACGCAAACATGAAACGTGAACTAAAGTGTGCGCAGTGCTGTCGGGTCACAGATACGTGGAGATCAGTGAGATGAGGCTGCCTTTAATAATTCAGAACCGGGCTGAGCCGTGTTGTGAGGCCGTCGTCCTCAGAGCAGAAATCAATGCTGAGAGCAGCGACTGATGAACCTCGGCAGCTGTTTATTACATCTGAGCAGCTTTCAGGACGTTGATCCTGTAGACGGACTGTGTTCTGTTTGGGCTCGGTCAGGATCCTCCACACAGACCATGAAATGATTAAACACAGAGCCGGTGTCAGCGTCGTCCTGTAGATCAGAGGTTCTCGACTGGTCTCACCCTGGGACCCACTTGTTCCCGTGGTCATTAAGTCGCCACCCAGTTTTTTTATAATTCAATATTCAATATATTTTCCTGTGCAGCGTGCATTTCAACGTTTAGAACCATGCACAGGAACTGGACCGTGACCACTGCCTGTAGAAAAGTGAATAAAATGAATATCAAAGTTTTGGCCTCGTCAGGTCATGTGTTGAAGTTAATGAGACAGTTGGACTCGTGCTCTACTCCTGATCAGAGGTCCAGAGTCTGGCTGACAGCAGACAGCGCTGCTCTCAGATCCTGCTCAGTTTGGGTTGGTCAAAGGAGGAGGTGGGAGGAATATTTGGAGATCCAAACTGATGTCCTGATTCCAGCACAGTGAACCAATAGGCGGCTATTCGGGTCCAGTCCTAGTATGAAAACCCACATTTTAAATACTCCGGGTCATGTTTTTGGCATCTTGCATCCCGACATCAACACAAACTTAAAATGAACGACAAACAAACTATGGTTACCGTGCCTTTCAAAATAAAAGTTTTTTCAAAATAAAAAGTCCAACCTGAGACGCACATTATATATTACTTCATTTTGACCAGCTGTCCGCGACCCACCCAGAACAGGTCCGCGACCCACATTTAGGTCGCGACCCACCAGTTGAGAACCCCTGCTGTAGAGTCTCGATGTTCAGATGATCCTGACCTGATGTTCCTCGTGTCAGTTAGAGGTTTTATTAACGCAGAAGCCGGCTGCTGTGGGAGCAGCAGGTCTGAGGAGTTCTGCAGAGCTGGTCTCTGGTTTGGATGCTGATGCTTCATACTGAGACTAAACCTCAAGCAGACGGCGTTTGTTTTTGGGTCTTTGCCCGATGAGTCGTCGGTTCTGAGTCACGTTGAGGTGAGCGTCTCTGATGCTGTTTCCAAACACGGTCCTGCTCTAACTGAACTAGTCGGATAGAAGTGTGAGTGTTTCTGTGCAGGCGGTGCAGAGCTGCTGTCCTTCAGCTGGAGCATCTCAACGCAGATGTGCTTCAACATTTCAGAATGAAAGTCAGTCGACACACTTCTCTGAGGCTCATTGAGCTCCAGCTGAAACAGCAACAGGACGAACGTTCACGATGCAGAGTTAACGTTAATAATAACTAATTAAAGCCGCAAGCGGCGATGGACGGGTCCTCGCCCTACGCTTGTCGGCCTTNATAATGCAAGTTTGTACCTCTGAAACAACAATCTGAAAGGAAGCTGCTGTGCAACCTTCTCACTTTGTGCTCTATCCAACTCTAGATCTCCGTCTAAAACACTGTGGATTATGTCTTTGTTGGCAACAGCATCACAGTTTACATGCAGAGGAGGTGTGGAGTCGTAGTTCAGTCTGTCATTTGTGCACATCAACCACACAAAAGGCCTTGTTACCACCATGATAAAAACTTTTCTAAGGACCTTTGATCACAATCTTAGCATTTGAATACTATGCCTCATGTGATAATAAGACCAATATACTGACATGCTAAGAGATTAAATGATCTACAGATGCTAAGCTAGGAGCGTATTCCTTCGGCTTCTTTTTCACCAGTTGGCCATCATGACGCTAAGGGTTTTTTTTTTATTAAGTTACCCACATCTGTTTTCTACATAGGGACCAGTTCACAACTTCTTTATAAAGTTCTTACTTGTAAAAAGAAAACTTTCTTTTTTAACCATCCATATAGTGTTCGAGCATATGGCAACTCCGCCTAAGTTTGTCCTCGGAACACTATGGAACTTGGCGTTTGCCTCAAAACATGCTTCCCACTCAGATGGCACACGTGTACGTGCGAGTGTGTACGCGGTGAGTGGGCTCGCCGATCTTATCTGGGAGCTCTCGGTTGACACTTGTGTCATCCCGCTTTCCAGAGCTTGTTCTTTCCATAAGGCTAAGTGATGTAAATGGTGCGCAGGTGAACGCAGCGATGTTGTGACTGTGAATGTTAAGAGTTTTAGAAAAAGGAAGTTGCAGCAATTGTCTGGCAGCCGAGAACGGTTCCCCCACAGGCCGTGTATTCCTTCAAGATGCTGACCCGCAATACCTGCTGCTGCACGTTTCTGAGAACACAACAAGCCTTGGCTGAAGGTGTAAAGCTGAGAAAAAGAGCAGCAGAGAAACAGAGAGCACATGGTGTCGGTAACTCTCTTTTTTTTTAATGTATTGCCTCCAATTATGTGCTTCTTGCAACAGACGTGCTGAGACACACATCTCTTGAGGTGCAGTTGGGCTTCTTCGTGGTGCTTTACTCCCCCCACCAGGTCAAACAGGGAACTGCAGCTTTTTATAAACTGCCAAACACAGTCTGATAACAAAGAGAGCAGATCAACAGCAGAAAGAGGGATAAAGTTTCAAAACACTTTCAAGCCAAACCTGCTGTTGTTTTCAACTGTAAGTGGCTGGTGATGGAGAACCTGCAATAGTTCAATCATTACCTCCATTCTCAGCATGCTGACACCCACCACCGCACATCTGCTCTAAGTGTTTGTCTTACATTTGAAGGGTTGAATCACCCGTCCTCACCTCACTGGGCAGATGTACCATGTTAGGGCAGGAGCCTGTTTACTATGAAATCATGTTCTCTTTCAGTAGAATTATTGACTCACTGCTGGAAATCAAGATGAGCATGAAACAAAACAAAAAGGACCATGAAGTAAACACCTGATTTTTACAGGCCCATTTTTAACAGACTGTTTTTCACCAGAATTTTGTCTTCTAGGCAAAGAAGAATTTAGATCCTTTACTTAAT